CGGCACGTGTATCAGAGAAGCTCTAGAATAAAGACTACTTACATGGTGAGAGAGCAAGATAAAGATAAAAAGTTGCATTCTTCTTGTCACGTTTTATAAGACATTGAACTGGAGAATCCTGTGGACCTTGCTGCAGAACATATAAAGTGCACGTAAATATCTAATGATACATCAGTCAGCCACAAAAGTATTTATAATCAAAATTTCAGTCATAAAGTAACAAAAGATCAAGGATTTCCTATAACAATGTGTGTTATCAATTACATATCGAAAACATGGAACATAAAATGTGCTGATCCAAAAACCAAAGAGACAATTAATCATTGATTGATAATGGTCGAAGCTCATGCCTACGGCTTTCCCATTGTCAGACAAACATTCATTTCAAAAGATCATCACTTTACCTGATAAAACAGTCCAATTCCAATCCTATAAACAAGAAGAGAAATTGTAAAACAAGATGCTATCTCCCCAAATGCTTCAACATTAAATCTTCCGGACACTCTAATACCACTCCATTTGCACGTCCATTTTCCTCTTCCATATAAATACATGAAATCAAATTTTAAATAAATCCCGTTACTCATGTAGACGAAAATAAACTATAAAATAGAGCTACATTCAGGAAGATAAAGCTGGCTCCTTCGACTCATTCCAGTGCACTGCCCATTCATGTCGAGAAACAATAATAACGTAATTAACATCCAAAAATTGCAATCACAATCCAGACCCTTCATCTTTCCCGAGGAATTTCAGATCAACACGATCCACAGATTCCCGAGTCCTTTTCACCCGTACAAATAAAAATCCAACTTTTAAGATCGAGATTTCAAATCAACATCATCAATCACACAAATTAAAAAGGGAAAACTGAAAAAAGAAAAAATGGGACCTTTTTTAGGGCCGAAGGGAACGTGATCTTTCCCGGCTCATTGATGGCGGCCCTCTCCACGGTCTCCCTCGCCGCCTCCCTCCACCGCTTGCATACGCAGGCGCACGCGACGACGTTCTGCCGCTGGGGCCATTTCTCCTCGCTCGCCTCGACCCGCTGCATTATTTCTCCCAGCAGCTCCGGCAGCATGCCCGCCCACGAACCAAACTCTCCTGACCTGGATTCTTCCATCGAAACGACGCCGCCGTGATTCTGAAGCTGCTTCCGTCTTCCGCCGTCGCGACAACCGCCGTCATCACCTCCTTCCCCTTTGTCCTCCCCATCGAGACCGCGACCGTGTTCGCCGCCGCAAACCGACTGCGGATATGGGGAATCACATTTTTCCTGGCACGATTTTGAAATTCCAAAGGAACGGTGAATGATCCGCCGTGAGAGAAAAGATCTCCTCAGCGGCATCTCGTCGAGAAATAGAGGGAGGGAGAGAAGGAGAGAGTAGGTAATAAATAAATAAATAAATAAATAAATAAATAATAAGCGTTCAGATTTTGGGAGTTCAGAAATAAGAGAGAAACGCTAGTGGGTGATAAATCGACGGGCCTGTCGCAGCTAGTGAGCGACGGACGAATAGCTTGTGCGGTTATTACGGGGTGGGGAGAAGGACACGTGTAGGCGTAGTAGTGGTGGTGAGTTGGTATTTATTTATTATTACTTTTTTTTGACTAATTGAAGGGTTGACGATGTCGTTTTCAGGCAGAATTTGTTTAATAAAAATCAGAGACCATTGCTTTTTAAGTGGTGGACGAGCTATTTAAAATTCATGGGTTTCGTTTGAATTTGTTAAGAGTCTTCATTAATGTCAAAGCCTCTCACTTCTATTAATTAATTTCACTATAAATCTTGATTGTGCATTCTAGAAATTTTTGAAGAGATTTCGAAAGTACATTCTAGAAATAGTAAAAAGTATACTCAAAGAACTGAAATTGGTAGTTCTCTATGTAGTGACAACTTTGTTTGAACAAATTTATAGATATGAATTCATCACAGCTGCAAGTAAATTTCTCAAAACTTCACTTGCAGGTAAAATGAAGTAAAATGTCATAAAATTTAGAAAGGGCAACAATCAAGCCACCCAAAATCCAGAAACATTACTACATTAAGCATTATCTCGTACACCAAACTAAATATTACCAAAAGCATAACAATCGCCTAATTTTGGGTTTACTTTGGCCAGTCAAATATATTGATAAAATCCTAATTTTATTAAGGTTTGCAATTTTAAATTAGTTTTCTTTGGTACATAACATATTCACTGAGGTGCATGCCAAATTTTTGACATTGTGAAAGAGAATTAGTTTGGTTAGTGGAAGGAATGAGTTGTAATCTCATCACAAATTTCTGCTGTGAAACCGTAAGCTGGTCGACCCTTCATATATTTTGAACAAAAATATATATTTGTACAGTAAAAAGACCACTGAACGATGATATGGTTTGCATATGATGCATTATAGGTAAATACCAGAAAAGACTGATAATGAGAAATTGTAACCGAAACAGATTAACTAACAAGCCAAGTATAAAATAATCAATCCAGGCAAAGATTAAGAAAGTCCATATTAAAAGGAAAATAGAATCAAGCATTCAAGATAAACCAGCATACTCAGCCATCACTACAAAATTTCAGCCACATCAGCTTTGCCTTCAAATAGAACAAAAACGACCGGTTTAAACCCTCTTAAAAGATCTTTACCTATTTCCATCATGGACCACAAAATGAAAATGTCAAAACAAGGGATCACCCTTAATTACCTAATCATCATTGCCTATTAATATTTACTGTTTTTTTTTTTTTATTATTTATAATATTCAACCTGATGACTGAAGTCCAAAAAAAATTCTTACACATCAACAAAAGAACATGGATCCAGCAATATCCTTGTGGAGCTTTGGTAGCTGGGGAACATGAATGCTTTGTCCAGACGATAGTTCGGAGGAATCTTCAAATTTAAGAAACTGTCCCACTTGTTGAGCTGCAAGGTGTGCATAACATACTGGTGCAACTACAATGCAAATAATGTGCGATATTTAGTACATATAGGGATAGTTACAGTGGGAGTTTTAGCCTGATTTCAAGGAAAGAACTTATTTTTCGCGAATAATCCTTTAACATTTCGTTTCTGTTTTCCGGATCGCATGCTTTTGACAGTATATTGTAAGACACTACAAGCCTCAAGTGCCTTTTTCCTATATTGTAAGACAATACAAGCCTCAAGTGCCTTTTTTTTTTTTTTAATNTCTGGATTTTTATTTGATCAGGCTAAACCTCAAGGGTACTCTTGTTATTCTATATGAAATTCTTATAGACGACAGTGAGTTGGAGCTATCGATAGAAAATAACAAGGGAGTTGGTACCGATAGAGGTGGCAGCAGTGCTCCTCTGGTATCTGGAAAGGTGGAAAATGTGGAAAATGTTAAAATCAGAAAATAGAGATGCTTGCTATAGCAGCAATCCAAAAGAGACGGGGAAGAAAAAACATTAAAAAGCGTGAAATCTTACACATATGAAAGTGAATGAATCAGCTTCTGCAGTTCATCTGGTGAGAAACCAATTTCGTCAACCAAGATACGATAATGGGTGGGTCGAGAAGTCCCCTGTCATCCAAAATTGTGCATCAATAATTTGGTACATCGCGAACTTTTTAAGGTACTTAATAAGGAAAATGACACCAAATTTAGTTCATAAAACTAAAATAGTAATATCACCATAATATAAAGAGACCGATAAGTTAAAAACTTAATTCAATGAGCAGGAAGGAAGTCATATGGATATAAAACCGAAATGTTTGTGCAACGACAAACATGTCTAACATTTTATGCACTCGAATTGGAGACAAGTATAGTGCTTAACTAATAACAAGCAAATCATATACTGGGGTCTGATGCAGTCAAATAAAAGCTGAAAAGAAAGAATGGAATCATATGACTAAACTAATTCTGTAATGACAATAAGACTTACAATCATCCCCGCATGAGTGCACATATAGAAATCATAGTTTCTAGGATGAACAACT